ATGTGTGTTAATGTGTGTTAATGTGTGTGATTGTTAATGTGTCCAACACCAGAGGGTTGTAGATACCCCATCCTCACTGTTACCATGGTTACCACATACCCACCCCACCGAAACCCCAACTGTTGCCATGGATACCCCAAACTACTCTTCATCATCATAACCATGTTTTTTTATTCTTTGTTCACTGTCAGAAAACAAAGTTCAACTTTTATAATAAAACTGATAAAACATCAAACAGTTTCTGATTTCTTCTGTCAGCTCTGATGCTGTGTAACATTTACACCTTATTCCTGGAACTGGTAAATGGTAGTGACGTCATTTCCCTACAAACCATATGAAACTGCATTCCAGTTAGCCGACAGGCTAACTTAGCTACAACACTGCTACAATAAAAACAATGACAAAAAGAGAGCTCTACTGTGTACGTTATGTAAATAAACTGATTTTAATACGTACAGTATTGCACAGAAAACACACTAGTTGTGCGAGTAATTAAACATGCACAAAAAATTAAGAAAGATAATTAACAGTAAAAGTTAGAGTTAACTTTCCAAAGCTGCAAGTAGCCGCCATCAAGTGGAATTTTACCACTGGAGGGGGTGTTCCAGTTTAAATCTACCAATGGGAACTGGGAAATTGCCACTTCCCAGGACTACTGAAACGCACCAAGAGCTCCACCTACAGTCAGAATCAGAGACCAGATCATCACCTGAACCAGAACCAGGATGTATTTATTTATTCATTAAAATAAAATAAAAATCTATGTATATTAAAAACAAAAACAATTTATAAATAAAATGAAAGTGTATTCCAGGGTTCAGCACCTGTATAAAGACGGACAGGAAGTCCTGGTTCTTTTCCTCACTTCCTATATCAGACAGACAGACCCATGCTAAATGAACTTACATAGTGTCACATAGGTTAGGTTAGTATTAGGTATATATATTAATAATAGTAGTACTGATAATAAAAAGTAATGCTACTGTTTGGCTCATATTTTAATTGTTTTTCATTTAACCCTTTGTGTCACTGTCAAAAGTGATCCAGAGTCTTTCAGCTCTTCTTCTCTGAGCAACAGACCAGGTGGGATTGCATTCTAAAACAGTTGTCTTAACAAAGTCCCAGCCRTGCTGGAGAAAAGTTGGACCAGGGGTGCAAGGGTTTCTGTTTTTAATAGTATTGTGTCTGTTGTGTGAATCTGGTCAGAAATGTGTSTAGTTTCTCCTGAACTCCACACTGYTGGCATATAATCAGATATACACAATYCCTGGTCTTGGAGCGCCCCCTGCTGGCCATTTTAATTATTGCTATGTTAAATTTATCTTGAACCTATAGACCAGGGGTCACCAATACTGTCATGTCAAATGACAGAACTGTCTAAAACTGTTTGTTTAGTTTTTTCCCTCTCTCTTATCACTG